TTTGTATAAGCACATAGGATGTCTTATGACCAAAACCCATCAATTACTTCAAGTGTTTTTCCTTCCGTCGTAACTCATATTCTCATAAGAATGTACACACAAGTTAATGGGCTTCAATATAATATGGGCTGTCATCGATTAAGTGAGACGGTCAATCGAAAAGGAAAAAATGGACTTCAATATAATATTTGTATTTTAATGTAATACAAGAAGCAAGCAATTTGGCACCGTTCAATGTAAAAAAATATATTGATTAATTGAGGGGTAGCATGTGCTACCCCTACCAACTAGCTAATTTCGCCCCTGGCTTGAACGAAAAAGTTACTGAATTTAAAAAACCAAATTTCACCGCGCTCGCACCACTGCACGCCAATATTTCGATATATTCGATTACATCACTACTAAACACGATTATCATGACGCATAGGCTCAAGAATAAGTACGTGAAAAGTCGTGTAATATCATCAGTATGATAAAATATTCGGAATACATGTAATAGTGTGAACTCAAACTTCGTAGAACTCACCCAACATGGAGAAGATATGACTTTTAGCATGAATAAAAGTCAATCGCACACAAAATGTTACAACGTCAAAAATCTATGAAGAAAATGGTTGATTTTTAGATAAAGTCACAAAAAGGGTGAAGATTGTGCCAACCATCATAGAATAGCTTTCAGAAAGGGATTTTGTGAGCATGCCAGGGTGAAACACACTGAATGATGTGATTGATGGTACCCGTAAGTAGGAGATTGATTTGGAGCACCTCGGGAAGAGGAAGGTAGAGCAGATTCATACCATAAAATCTCTTATACTCTCAAACAGGCCGTAACAAAATGGAATGAAAAGTTGTGTAATTCTTTGTTTGAATTTGGTTTTATTTAGAGTATTAATGAGTTTTCTCTGTTTATAAAAAATGAAAAATATTATATTGTTGTTTTACTTGTGTATGTTGATCACATTATTTTGACTGAAATAAATTGATTGAGATAAATAAAGTAAAAGATTTTAAAAACTAAATTTCTAATTAAAGATTTTGGAAAGTTAAAGTTTTTCTAGGGATTGAAGTTTTGGATATTAAAATAGTATTTGTTTAACCCAAAGGAAATATTACTTGGAGTGATCACATGACTTTGGAATGTTGGGGTGAAAACTCTTTTGGATGTGAACATTATGATTAAAGATTTTGGTATAAATAAAAATGATGGTTCATTTCAAAATGTTACTTTATTTCAGAAACTTGTTGGTAAGCTTATTTACTTGATTATCACAAGACCAGACATTTCTTACATTGTACAAGTGTTAATTCAGTTCATGAAGAGTCCTCGTAAATCCTATTTAAATATCGATATGAGATTACTTTGTTATCTTAAGTCTAATCTAGGTAAAGGTTTTTCTGTTTTAAAATCTAAGGTTTTTAACCTTAAGAACTATGTTGATGCTGACCGGAATAAGAACCTTGTCTCCAGACATTTTGTTACAAGTTATGCTATTTTTATTAAAGATACTCTTATCTCTTGTAAAAGCAAGAAACAAGAAACTGTTTCTCGTTCTTCCACGAAATTAGAGTATCGTGCTCTTGGTTTTATTTCTTGTGAAATCATGTGGATTTTGAAAACTTTGTTTGATCTTGGGTTAAGAGATTTTATTCCAGTCCCAATTTTTTGTGATAATGAGTCAGCCATTAAACTGGTTCTTAATCAACTTTTCATGAAAAACAAAGCATTTTGATGTTGATACTTGATACTCATTTCGTAAGAGATAAAGGATTGAAAGGTGTTGTACAAGTTTTAAAGATAGATTCAGATCACAATATTGTTAACATTTTTACTAAAGCGTTCAGTTAATTTTCAACGTATTTGGTTGTGTGATCAAATGCCTCTTGTTGATCCATGTCAAGAACAATGTTAATGTGAAAATGATTTAGTTTGAAGAGGTGTTGAAATATGCATATGGTCTCAAACTTAAATCATTGTTCTTCTTCTTCTTCTATATCCTTTTATACATATCCTTTTCTTTCTTTCTTTATATTTATTTATTTATATATTATTTGTGTTTCTTTGTAAGTATTTGGTGTTGAGGACTAAACTTGTCAAACTCTCAATTATTTTGGAAAGTGGCTCACTTGTTTTCAAAGATAGAAAAAGCACGGGTTTTATCCATTGGATATTTGGGTGGATATTAGTCGGGTGGTTCTGGTTCATATTCGTATTCAGACCCGATGTATATATTTAGCTGTGAATAGTAATTGAGGGTAACACGCTTCATTTTTTCTTCATCTGATATTTTTTCTCACATTAGGGTTTGCTTGGGTTTGTTCTTGCAACTTGTTCTTTTGATTCTTTCATCTTTAATAGTTTGAGTGTAAAAAAAATTATAGTGAGATTTATTTGTATTCAGTGTTGCAGTGGAATTAATTATAGTGAGTTTTATTTGTAAGTTCGTTAAAACCAATTGATTCTTATATAATAAGAATTGTTGATGTTATTAAGTTTGTGTTC